TGAATACATAATTTGAATTGTGAAAACAGTAGGCATAAAGCATATAATATATATACATTATAAAGTACACAAAATAAATGCCAAGAATGATCAAGGTAAATAAACAGCCAACATGCCTTTTAATATCTATACATTTTAAATTTAATGCAAAGATTATGGGAGACTAAACTGATAGTATAAAGCATAAATCCACAAAAACAGGAAATAATATTCATGACTTACACACAAATCAACCAAAATTAACGTTAAATTAAATGAATGTTGAACTGAAAATATGCGAGGATGTAAATGAAAACTTAAAGGATACACATAAAATACTAAAAAAATAAATAAATAAAAATAGACATAAATGTGATGGAGCTAGTAAGTTAAATAAAAGAAGAGGGAGTGACTAAACCGAATAAAAAAGTAAAGCGAAGAGCAAGATCGAAAATAAAATAAAACATCAGGGGCTCATATGAAAATTTGTCAAATAAAGATTAAAGGCTCGAATAGGACTAAAATAAAATTACTAAAAAATGTAAACCAAAGTTAAAAGGAAAAATAAATGAAAACAGGACCAAGATGAAATGGAGACAAAATAAGGGGGACTGCAAAAATGATTTACCCTTGGCAATTAAAAAACACAGCCCCTAATGGGCATTTTTACAATAATATAAAGCTCATTTGAAGCGCCAAAACAATACAAATCAAATAGCAAATATAAGTTTTACAAAATACAGTTGCGACTGAAATACAATATAGAATTTATAATACTATATTAGCTAAAGATGTACTTTGAAAGATTAACGGTTGCAAATTTGAGTTAACGATAGTGATCCTCAAACCACGCCAAGAACTGGTGAACAAAAACACATTCTCAACGCTAGGCTGATGAGATGAGTACTACATTAATAACTTTATTATTTTGCATGCATTCATAACGTAAATACACCTTTATCATCTACTCAATTCATACACAAGACACGCATAAAGACACCAAAGATAAGATTTGGTGTCACGTAATTTGAAGATACACATCCACACAAAGACAAGCATGCGTCATAGTATAGTCTAGAATTATTATTACTTACAGGACTCACACTCTTCTAACCTATATAGAAATCACAAAGATTTTTAAAAATATGTAATCAACACCAAGCTAAATAAATAAGCCAGCATGCTTTTTTTATAGGATGACATGTTGACATCGTTCTTTTTTGGTCACTACCACCATTTACTTTTGCAGAGAGATGTATAACCATGCACCAAGAGCAAATGAAATATGAGGACATGTCACATTCGGTCCTAGGGCTGCCAACCCTAGTATTGAGGCAATGCTCGTTTTGGGCCCAGAAGTGCATTGAGCAAAGTTTTTTGTAAGACGTATCTAAGGGGGTAAAATTTGGCCAATAATCCACCCGGAATATTTATTTGACCCAATAGTTGAACTCCAAATTTATTTTGGAATTTACGACAAATATTATGGTATTCAGTAAATTCGTTATTTTGTTTGCCATGTGGGCCTAATTGTTTAATATATTTTGTTATTTTCACATGGCCAATTCCTTTAATTAATTAACATATATATATAATAATTATATATTTTAAAAAAATCATGAGACTCACCGTGTGGGCATGAAGAATTGATTTTTAAAAAAAATAATAATTTATTTAAAAATAAATATTCAAATATTCAAATTTTAATTATTTAATTTATTTTAAAAATACTTTATTACAAATTATTAACTAAATACAATCACTAATAATAAAAAAAATTATTTATATTTTCTTAATTATTGACGATGGCAGGAATTATTGAATGATAATGACATGGGACTCGTTGATTTCTTTATAGTAGTCCGCCTTCGTCGTCTTCTTCATCATGATCTTCAATGCTTGCTTCTTGTTGAACTGGTACATCAATCCACCACTTTGATTTGTTACTTCAGGTGATAGTATTTAAAGTATTTGATGTCATCATTGACATCATTTACTCAAAATGCACATCAAAATCACTAGATGATGGAGCATATAGAAACAGATCCCATAGACCTGCATATTCTCTTGAAGGTGGTTGAGAGGGTGGCACTACATTCCATTTCGACTGGATCTTCATTGAAGCATAATATGGAGGATATACACCATAATTTGCTTGAGATGCAAAATAATTTGTAGAAGAAGCAAAGGAAGAAGATAATGTTGTTGATGATTTCTTCGCATATTTTGCCTTAATTTTTTTTCTAATTTAGCCCTATCTCCCGACGTTGTTAAATATAATTTCTCATTTGCTTCATAACTTTGGAGGAAGGGACATATTGAGAAATCAAGATCATCTGGTGTAAGGTCAGACAAATAGGCACGTATAAATGTCTCTCATTCCATTGTTTTTTGCATACAACATGGTTCCTCAGTCAATTTTCTTTATGCTTTCTACGTAAATTAATTTTGTGTAATTTGTCCATGTCAAATATTTGTGTTGAAATGGGTTGATGGGAATCAAATCATCAAACCACTCTATATGAGGCATGGATCTCAACAACGTTACAGCACACCACATTAGTAATAAAAATAAACTCTCTTAATTTAAAAGTTATACAAAAAATTAGAATATTTACCACATGTCTGTTGACAATATCAATCCTCATTTGTACATCAACTTTTGTTGCGTCTAATAACTTTGTATCGATAATCTTATGTTGCCATCTAAACAACATAGTATACAAACTAACAACTACATTATTTATTTAAAATTTCTAAACATATTAATTAATAATATAAATTTACTCAAATATAAATTTAAGAAATTACCTTGTAGCGAGAAAGAACTCAACCAGAGTTGTTGTAATTAGCATAAAAAATGAAAAATGGTATTAATAAGACTAGATAACCCATTACATCCGCTCTTTGACCCCTTTCCACAATTGTAGCCTTGCTAAGTTCACAGTATAAAAATGCCAAAATCGTAAAACCCCAATTGTATTAACGACACTCACCAAAATTTTTCAGTAATGGAAGATATTGAGTGTGCACCAAATTATTGAATTTATCCAGTAACAATATCCCTTCAATCAATTGGAGAAGATACGCTCAGGCTACATACATGGCCTCTTCCTCGGTAGAACGGACATCAACTTGAAAATCACTCTCCAACCACGTCATCCGAATTCGATACCCAATGTAAAATCTGGTGATGACACATTTCCCAATAATTCAAAAATCGTGTCTCGGTTGTGATTATTTTGTTTCACCAACGCAACACCATTTATCATAACATTGAGTTGGTAAGCCACATCTTCCAAAGTAATCGTCGCTTCACTACTCGAAAAATGAAACCTACGAGTTTCGGGTCTCCATCGTTCAATCAATGCCGAAATCAGTGCAAGAACCACTCGAAAACCAGAAGAAATGTGGCATGATACAATCCAAACTATTGTAAATAAATAATAGTATGCTTATGTGGCGATGCATTTTCATTCCTCGATGACGAATGTCTTGTTCTTCTTTCTACAATTTAAAATTTAAGTTTTTAATAAAATTTTCAAAACAATAACATTAATATTATAATTTAAACTTTAAAAAATATAAGAAATAAATCCTTATCGAATTCAGTTCAAGCAATGAAATATGGACATGTCAAAACATAGAATTTGTTGTCGGGTAGACATTTTTACCGAAAAATCGTAAAAAAACATTTTTTTCCCAATAAATTGTTTGTCTTCTAAATAAATCACAATAGAAACCCTAAACTATCAAACCCCCATCTATACTTCCAATTCCAACAGCCATAAAACGGCTAGGTTATGGAACTTGTCACGTGGGCATGACGAGTTCCATGTTCTAGCCTTTATAGCCGTTGAAATCTGCCCATTGTTCAACTTTCATTTAACAATTAGATTTTTAAATCCAAATGGAACTTGTCATGTGGGCATGACGAGTCTCATGATTTTTTAAATATATAATTATTTTATATTATTTTAAATTAGAATATATATATATATATATATATATATATATATATATATTAAAGAAACTCGTCCTGTGGGCATGACGAATTTCAAGAAATATATTAAATAATTAGGTCCCATAAGACTCACATATCTAGTTCCATTTAAAAATAATTTCCTGGAAGACTTACCATGTGGGCATGACGAGTTTATTGAATAAATGTGAAGTTAATCTATTGGGCCATATAAATTACAGGTGGATTATTGGCCTAATTTTGTCGTCTGAAGGGTGTTATAAACATAGTCATGTCTGCAACAATTTTTAAAACCTAAATTCCAGGTGTAAGATTGACCCAAAAATAAAATACAAAGAAAAATAAATGGAGAGTATCTGTTGGAAATCCACAGCAGTGATCACCTACCACATCAGATAGAAAGATCATCCAAATCAATTTCAATTAGTTTAGAGTGAGACTAAGGGAAATTTTTTTCTTCTGAAGTACATCAGAAAAAGGTTTTACTAATCATAACTATTTATGCTTCAAGCCAGGCCACACTTGCATGCAGGCTATTGAATAAAATTTTTCCCCTTACAGCATTTTCCAACAGAAATATGATTAGAGTGCACTAACAGCAACATTCCAATTAAAACAGATTGAATCTTCAAAAGTTCAAATATCCAAATTAGAGATAATATTGTTTCAAAACAAGACATTTAATTTGTAAGTGGTTTTACATTAATATATTCAAAACATACACACTCTACAAATACAGATGCTCAAAAATAAATTCAAAATAACATTTTATTTTATTATTGAGGACACTCAGTTAGTTAATTTATTGCGTGACCCGAAATGTTCCTGAATTGAAGTCTGCTTTTGACGTTGGGAGGTGCTCCTGTGGTGCTACTCACCAGAATTTCGTTTTCATCACTCATGCACATCTTGACCACATTGTAAGTCCCATAATCTCGCCAAAAAGATGGTGTTTTTAGCCATGGTTTGAAAATCGTGTACACTACTCAGGTGTTTTGGTTAGCTCAAACTCTAAGTTCCTGGGTATTACTATAATCTCATGTGGAGTCGTTTACTGTCTCTGGGTGGGCTGCCAATGTATGTAGCTAGCCGTGGTTTGTACAACTTAAAGCCTCCGACAGTATTTGTACCTCCATGTATTAAGAAGACGTGGAGAAGCTGTTGGGTATTCACAGGACAATGGGAAATGTGGAACTCAACCTTGACTTGGTCGCACTTTTCTTGTTTTTTTCCCCTGTAAGATGACTTTACTAGGCTTTTTCAGGTGAAACTTATGAACTGCGGAATGACATTGTTGTCCGACCATTTCGAACTCATCATGTTATACCAAGCCAGGTATGCCTTAACAATATTTCTTCTGAAGTATATAAATTTTATTTAGAATAGAAAACATAGACTATGAGTTAGGTGAAAATGGAATCCATCTTTTGAGTTTTGAGTGGGATATGCAAGAAAATATGTCTCTTTAGTTTCTGCCCTTGATAAATTCATTATTGAGGTTGAAACATGGATGCAGATGAAATTTTTGTTTAAGTATGAATTTGGTTTTTTTTCTTTCTTTCTTTCTTTCTTTCTTTCAGGGTTATGAAACATTATATTGTCGCCAGAGGTGGCCTTTACAGGGGATACTACAGCAGAATACATGCTTGATCCACGTCATGCCGATGCCGTGAGGGCCAAAGTTCTTATAACTGAGGTATAGACGGAAAATACATTTCGCTACAGCTGTGGTAATATTGTCTGTTTATGTTGCGACAAGTAGTGTAATCTATGATCTAACTTAATGTTAAAGGGAAAAAGCACAATTGGATGATATGATGAGACAAGTACAATGCTTCGTAAAATCCATGATTAAGTAGTGATAGGTGTCTTCTCTTTGCCTTCTAGCAAGTTATAGCAGGTGTGAGCTTAGCTGTAAACTCATACAGAAGACTTGGACTATTATATACCAGCACCTTGGGAATTATTTTCTTGCTTTGTCTAATATATAACTGCACAGAGATGATTCCATTAGTACAAGTGAGTTTCCATAACTATGAATCTTATCCTTTCTAATTGTGGAACTAATGTGCCAACTCTAAGTTTTCAGTATTTGCACTGATATTCAGATTTTGGTTTTGCTTCATATGGAGCTTTTCCATCCCCTATTTGGACCAACATTTGCAACTTTCTGCAATTTTTAATCTTCGTGTTGCTGATGTGAAAATATATTTTGTAGGCAAGGTTCCTTGATGACGGTTATAGCATCGATCATGCAAGACAACATGGTCATACTCATTTACCCGGGGTATGTTTGATCTTTGATCGTCCCACTGCATTGTTACAGTATTGTTAATGACTTTTAACATTATCCGATACAAAATTCCAGATCATTGAACATGCTCAGTGGATCAGGAATAAGGTTGTGAGATATAATATGAAGTTCAATCACTTGGTTCATAATCAATATAATCATTATGAAAAATGATCTTAAGTAAGCCCATTTATGCTACCACTAACAGATCACAAGTAAATTTCTGCTTACAGAATGTTCAGACAAAAAATATAAGCCATTATCAGCAATCGGTTGTAAAACGAAGGTAAAATCTCCATTATATTAAAAAAAATAAAAAGGTAAAAACAACCCTTATAGTTGTACAAGATTTGACCAGGGGGAAAAAATCCTAGCTTCATTACCTTACGGACCTCAAGTGAGCTCATTTATGAAACTAAAAACAGAATATCACGAGTAAATTTCTTCCTGTAGAATTTTCAGACAAACTTCAGCCATTACCAACACATGGTTGTGAAATGAAGCTGGAGAAGCTGCTCTCCAAGTTTCTTGCCAGATCTTCTCTGCCAGATTTCTGGAGGTGCTTCATGACTTTCATATACACTGCAAAGTTCGGTTTTAGACCCTTTTCTATCATCTCTGAAAGCACAGTTTGTGCGGCAACCGGTTCTCCCCTTTTTCTATGAAGGTTCGCCAACAAACTGTAAATCACATTGCTCGCAGTCTTATACTTATGACTACAAACAGCCACATACTGGCGTGCCTCCTCATACTGCTTTAATTTGAAGTAACCCTTCATAAAGGCAGCATGTGTCGTCGGCCGAGGTTCAATGCCCTTTGATTCCATTTTATCAAGCCACTCCAATGCCGTATCTAGTTTACCACGGCTGCAGAAATGACAAATGAATATCTCAAACGTTAATGCATCAGGACAGTTCCTTTCCAGCATGAGTTCAAGCAGCTGACCAGCCTCGTCGGTTCTATCATTCTTGCATAAACAACTGAGTATATAGTTAAAAAACTGGGCATTTGGTTGACAGCCCATTTCAATCATCTCATCAAGCATGCGCCTTGCTTCTTCGAAATGACCTCTACGACACCATCCTCGAATCAAAATACTGTAATTCGACAACCTTTTCTTTGCATTTGCAATCGCATATTCAGCCATTTCAAAGGATCCTAGAAAACACAACATCTCTATCAAAGCATGGATACCAGAAACACCACATGACCCACCTATTTTATCCAATACTTCGACCACCTTGCATATAGAGTTCTTCGTTGTAGCTTTACTAGAAATCTCAACACGTAAATAACCAAAAGCCTTTCGATTCAGACATATATCATGCAACCTAAAGTCGTTCAAAAGATTAAGCATCGAGTCAAAATCACCTAATCTCCCACAATTATCGATAACCAAACTACAAATATCAGAGTTATGATCAAACACGGGATGGGAGTGTCTAATCCAATCAAAGAAACGCAATGCAGAAACTTTCTGGTAATTTAAAGTTACAAAAATGGGTTTCAATAATACCTCAGAAAGACGTACATTCATGGCATCCAACTTGGATTCTAAATCGTTATCGCCCCTTCTAATCAAATTGGTAATCTCTGAAATTTGCTTTCGACTGACATTTACCCTTGAAGAAGAAGAAGCAGAGAAACTGCGAAACCAACAAAAATCGGATCTACTGAAAAATCGAGAAGATGGGTATGGCGTAGAAGAAAAGGAGGAAGGCCCAGATGAGGAAATGGTGAAAGGAGTCGAAGAATTGGAAGAAGGAACGGTGTGAAGTTGATGGGAACTGAGAGTTGGGGTTTGGAGAGTGGAAGAGAGTGATTTGGAGGAAAGAGCAAAGAGTCCGGGATTGAGATGTTTTCGAGAGAGACGATACATCTCCGTTTCGCTGGATCAAAAATTTCAGGGTTTTACGGGAGGTACCGGAGAAGAAACCCTAAAAGCCTAAAGCATAGCATCCATTGTCTTGTCTGCATTCGATGAACTGTGAGCTAGGGTTTAATCTTGAGTAATTTTTACAACATAGTTTGATGGTTTTATGGTTGCATTAGGATATTGCTTTTTAAAATGGTTTCGGCAAATGTGTCATTGTTGACACATCTTAATTTATATATACATATAGATTATAGAATATTATTTTATTAAGTCCATCGATTATTGAAAGTTATAAAATGATCATTCGATTATAGAATATTGTCTTATTGAATTTTTCGACTATTAAAAATTACAAAATAATCATCTGACTATTCATTATATTCCAAACTCATCCTTTTTTCGTTAAACGTTGGTGGCTGTTTAAGCCGGACATTAATATGATGACTATAATATAATAGCGTTTGAGATTCTATGATCGTATTTTATCATATCACAGTTGACATATTAACATTCAACTCATAATATTGTCCATTTTTTTAACAAAAAATATGAGTTTAGAACATAATGAATAGTCGAGTAACTATTTTGTAACTTTTAATAGTCGAAACTAAACAAATCAACACTCTATAGTTGAATGATCATTTTGTAACTTTTAATAGTTGAGGGACTTAATAAAATAATACGCTATAGACGAGGAACCATTTATGTACTTTAATTAATAAAAGTCATAAAAATAAAAATTTAAAGGCTAAGTAATATTGATAGTGTCTTTTACTTTTGGTCTATTTGATTTTGATTATCGATTTTAAAATAATTACGTTTATATTTTGATTGTTGAACCATTAATCTTTTAAAGCTCCCTGAAACCAAACACACCCCCAAGTTTTATTTCTCTTTGTTCGTGTAAATAATGAAGACCATATAATTAAAAATATAATGAGTCTGTGACGTAAGTGATTGAAACATAATTCTTTTAAAATAGACGATCATTGATTAAATGGGTAAATAATGAAAATTAAATATGTAAATATGTCAATATTTTTAACTGTCACGTTAGTTATTCTATCAAATAATGACGACATATGACTTAACTGATAACGTTTAAATAGTCAAACAGTCTTGGTGACAAAATAGAAAAACCAATGATCAAAATATATTCCCCACATAGTTAAGTGGTCATAGGTATATTTTACCCTTAATATCACTTAAAAGTTCAAACATGAGGCGAATATAAACTCCAAGAGATAAAAGGACCTTACAACTTTTCACCAGCGTTTTATTCACCACAAAAACAAAAATTGTCTTCTGTCCCCCAGAGTTTTTGCACAGTTCAAATATTCAGGGGAAAAAAACCTACAACACTGTCGGATCACAGGTGAAAGGGGGTGCAGGAGGTACAGTATCATGGAAGTCTTCTCGCAAGGTTCCGAATTAACAAAACAAAACAAGTTAAAAAGATAATCAAGACATGGATTAACTCAGTTTTAATCTTGTGAGGTTTTCGAAGAAGCCTGCAATGAATTTGGTGGAGAAGCAACCTGCTCGGATGGATCATTATCTGAATTCTTAGTTTCCAAGTTCCGACATTTCTTGCTTACAGTGTCGGTGTTTCGTGCCCAATTGGGAAGTCTCGATGGCGGAGGAGCTTCGGACAAATGGACTGTTGGTGACATTCTTTGATATGCTAGGAGTGATGCATCGAACACAGGTAAAGGAAGGGTTGGAGCATAACTATAAGGATATCCCAAAAAAGGATGATCGAATCTGCAAGTTGGCCCGTACTTGCACAGTCCATACATACTGTAGCTAGAACATACAGCTTGCCCCTACATACAAAAGAACAACAAATCAAATAACATTTGGCTAGAGTGAAGAAAATGGAAATGGGAACACGAATTCCTGTTTAACTCGAATGGACACGAAACTTACGGGTCTCGAAGGAAGCCCAAGAGGGCCAACACTATTAATGGCTGAATTTGCAATCCTTTCCTTTGGATGATGGTACTTGCAATCAGGTCCATATTTGCAAGTGCCAGTGTTCATATAATACCTACACTCAGGTTGATCAGGTCTTTCAGGATAGTTAGCAGACAAGAGCATATGTCCATTAGAACCAGACTCTGCGGGGTTCGTCGAGTTATAACCATAATTGGATCCAAGAAAACCAGCAGAAGATACGGGGCTCATATTTCCCTGATCAGAGTTAAATTAGTAATCAAGAAAAATAAAATGTGGCAAAATAAGGAAAGAAGTTCCAATTGGCAAGAGCTACCTATGAACAATTTTTTTTCATATAAAAGAGATGAACAAATAATAAAAAAAACAAACATGCAGTGTGAAGCATTATAGTTGCAGGGAACTGTCAGGTATGTACATGAAATATGCAAAGCTACGATGAGTCACATCTATGTGACCTTGTGGTGATAGACGTGCATAAAATACGTATGGAAACACAAATTTGCAGAATACATAGCAACGCTCTCTTATTTTTCCGAAAATAAACATATAGTAACACGTTTAAAACACAATTAAGTTTGTTTTGGATAACAGATACTTGAATAGCAACAAAGTTAATCATTTTAAGTATACATTTCATATATAAAGAAAAGCATGCTTTTTGAACTTCTCCAATAAGCAGCTCAAGCAATAAGTGAGCAAAGATGAAGACATCTAAGGTGTCTAACACTTGCAATTATGCAAACGAAAACGTGTCCAATAGTAAGTGAATTCATATAACAGAATGGGGTCAAGACCAGGTAATTTTTATCATAACATCTTAATGACATTCACTTCTGGTTAGAACAAGTCATTAACTAGCGCCATTAGTAGCCAACTGACTAAGACATTTTCAAATGTTACAGATATGGGTTGTAGCAACATCATGAACACTAAAAAAGGACAACAAATAAATGAGATCAGCTGATAAGAAGAAAACACATATAATGAGTCTTTCTAAAAAAACAAAGTAAAAGCAGAAAAAAATAGGACCGATCTTCAGGTCTTAATAATCAAGACCGTGTAACTTCGTTTAAAAAAAATGCCAAGGTTTGCATTATTCTCATATCCAGTGATTGGAAACACGACATTTAATTTAGCAATCTAAAGTTAAATTGAATTGAAAGTCAAGGAGATCAACATGATGTTTACACTTGCAGAGAACTTTATGAAGCTTGCTTTAGGACAAGTGAAACATTTAAATTTCACAATTTAAGAAGTCAGTCCAATATACTTTGCATTTTACACTGTCATAAAACGGAAAAAGGAAAACCTTGAATGATGGAATCTTGCAGAAATTAGA